TTAAGCCACAAGAACAATTAACTTATGTTGGTTGACTGATGCGGTGACTGTCATGGGACGATGGCGTTTGGATATTTACAAATATGGCTTTCATAGAGAAAAACAGGTGGCTGTTGTGTGATAAGATACATGATAGGATGTTTGTGTGTTGACGATGTTTAGGGGGAATGAGTATGTGTCCTGTCAAAGAGTCCTCTGTCATGACTCCNGGTAGGAGTGTGAGAATTGCGTGGTGGCGTTCAGAGCCGGCAGTAACGTCGGGCTATAATTACATTTATTACATCACCGAGGCCTGGTGCGAGACCACTGCTAGGACATAGTGGAGAACGAACACACACACACACACACACACACACACACACACACACACACACACACACACACACACACACACACACACACACACACACACACATACACTGTGAAGCAACGATGGAATCAACAACTGCGGACTTACTACCTGGGGTCCCGCCCAGAAGGGAAACCAACCAATGAAACACTACCAACTCACTGGCTAGCTCGCTCAGATGTGAACCCGCCAATAAACAAATAGCTAGGAAGGAGCAAGCGAAAAAACTCCTCCCCACCTGTGTATAAATGTTGTGATCATTTTGAAGATCGGCGCTCTTGTTTTTGACTGGCCGTTCCTGAGACGTGTCTCACACGTTGGTAGAACCTGAGCCCGGAGTACTCTGCAGAGTGCTTCGTGATTAGGTGATGTGTTGTATGTGTTTGCCATCAAAGCAGATTATTGTTTAACCCTTATCCTGGCTGCTTTGAATTTTTCCTTCTTTTGAGAACCCGCTCATATAGGAACGGCGCGGAGCAGAGATTCTGCCCCAACAGTCTCCTGAAGGAATATGATTTGTACATTTTCCTTTTTCAATTTTCTTATAACCCTCTCTCTTTCCTTTGTGTGCTTAGACCATTTACATTCAGCGACACTATATTGGTACTGTTAGCCATCCTTACGTTTTACTGCTTCCTCAATATGTGCTCCCGAAACCACTCTGCATATGTAAAAATGTACATTATGAATAAAACACAAACCAGAAATAAAAAAGGCTTCCAAATATGTGGGAATCTTTCATCACAGTTCGTGGGGAAAGTCTTCCTCTTCAAAGAGGGCCCCTCCTTAGACCTCAAACTAGACCCAAAAAAGGGGCGTCCATAAAGTCCAACATAATGTTGGACTTTATGGACGCCCCTTTTTTGGGTCTAGTTTGAGGTCTAAGGAGGGGCCCTCTTTGAAGAGGAAGACTTTCCCCACGAACTGTGATGAAANTTTCTATTTTCTACTATTTCATATATTTTGTTATTTATTTTTGTCCAGTAAGACTTGAAAAGAGAGCTATTATTTTGTTACAGGTTGATGTTTAAGTTATTCTTGGGCATTTGAGATTTGTCAGAGATAATTCTAGGCATAATAAAGCATGTTGATTGTTGAGTAACCTTGGTTTGGTGTGTCTTTGGTTATAGAAAGATATTATTGTGTTATATACAGTAAAATAATATAAATAATAATTTGATATCCATACAGAGGAGGCATACTTTAAAACAATAAGGCATCTTTGAGTAAACTTTGAGTATCATTAAGTATCTCGAGGCTGGGGGCAGCATGTCCTCTTTTTTGGAAGTCAAAATATTGTCACCCTATTATACGCATACATTGGAACAACGGAGTAAAGACGTATGGAAGCGCCAGAGAGGCTGCACAAGATATATGAAAGAAAGAGGCTACTCGGTGGAAAATCCCGAAGGCGACAATGAATCAACAGCGGAGGGGAGACTGTGAGGAGGGACGGAGTGGCAGCTAGTCAAGGGGGCTAAGCCGAGAAGGGAGGCAGCGCACCGGGCGAGAGAAAAGCTACAAGCCTACCAGATGAGAGCTTAGGACTCTTTACTAAAGGACCGAGGGTAGAATTCTGAATACAAAAGCAGGTATGGCTATAAAGTTAAACTGTTAAAGCCACTCAAGGCTTATTTAAGTGAATACAATATGAGACGGCCTAGAGATGTTGAGTTAGTGATGTTGGACATG